GCTAAACTCTAATGTCCATTTTTCTACAAGGACTTATTGTTGCAATGAAACAAGGCACAATACAGTTTTAATAAATATTTATTTCACATAAACATTACCTCGATTCATCACTATCTGAAAAACGTCCTTGATCTTCTAAAAGCTGTTTCAACAGAAACTTTCTTTTGTCAACGGCTGCAGATAAAGCTTCATCAGGATTAAACGAGTCTTCGTTCACAAATGTCTCCTTCGTTTCCATAATCTTTCTATGCACAGGATCACTTTTAAGTGCTTTCATCCATCATAAATTATCCAGGTAAACGCCAGCGAATTCTTTCTGAAGTTCAGGGAGAACGCTTTCAAAGGCTTCCTGCTTAGCTGCACTTTCTCCCTGCCCATCCATTTGCAACGTTTTCATAAATTCATCATACTCTGGTCGAACCGTCGCCTTTGCATCGTCAATCATGGTTGCCCAAGGATCAATCTCTTCCTTCATTCACCATCATCTTCGGAATTCTCACTGTTTTGATCTTCCTCAGTTTCCGTAACACTTTCTTCGTCTGGAAAAGAGTCCACACTTTGTTCATCTGAGTAGCTACTTCCTCCTCCTTCCATCGAGGCATTATCGTCAATCTTTGCGGCACAATGGTTCGCCTTATGCCGCCTGACATTATAATAGGACGAAAACCGTTTCAGACATCGATCACACTGGTAAGAATCCATAGTTCGCTCTTAAGAAATGAAAAATGAGAGCTCTCAGAGTAGTTACTTATATAGTGGATATATGCTTGGTTTGCTTGTGGGACAATACAGGTGAAATAGTTTGAACGTCATTGAGAGTACGCATGCGCATTCGTCTTAAGTATTTTTATTATGAAGGACTAACAGCTAGCAAGGCTGAGATGTTCCAGTGGCCTTTTTGGCCCGTATGGCCTTTATGCAGCCCGTTTGGCCTTTTTGGGCCATGATTCGTGCATCTGTTCCTCGAGTCGTAAACATAATCATTATGGCATCTTCCGTAAATTGTTTACATCGATCCTACATCGACTTCCCATCGACCTTACATCCACCTCACCTTGATCTTACATCCACCTCACCTTCACCTCACATCGACTTTTTAGAGACAAATAAATTAATTAATTAAGTGGGAGCACTCTCCCCCTGTCGTTAGACAGGGTAGGGCGAGTCCGGGCGCATTACCACTTAAAAGGTTAACAGGGTGTATGGGTAGGTAGTCTGATTAACCTATTGGGTTCTATCGGGCCTAATCGGGCCTTAATGCGAAAAATGCGAAGCAAAATGCGAAAAATGCGAAGCAAAATGCGAAAAATGCGAAGCAAAATGCGAAGAATGCGAAGACGCATGAGCAAAATGCGAAGACGCATGAGCAAAATGCGAAATCAATGCGAAAACGCATGACCAAAATGCGAAGACGCATACCCCAAGGGAACCTAATTGATGCAAGCAAAACAGTATCGTAGCAACGTTATTTCGCTCTAAAATTATCTGCACAGTGCGCATACGTATAGGCTCATTCGTAATGTCCCACAATCATTGCATCAATCGTCTATGACGTACATAGATACAAATCTCTTGCTGTGTATATGAATTGTTGATGATATTGACGAGTAATAGGTCTTTTAGCTCAATACTACGTTTTTGGTGTTATGCTACCTGCTTTCCGAATTAAAACCACTCTTTAATGAGAGGTTGGAATGCCAAACGTTTTCTAGGCTGATAACTAGACACATATAAACACATTTTTATAGCAAAGTAATGAACTAAGACATTTATATTGTTCTGAAAAACAATTTACAACTTTAAACTACACGTAAAAGTGCCCTTATGCACAATGTTCCTCGCTCCAATACATTAGGTAGTTCAAAATGGGTTGATAATCAGGAAAACTTCCTCTCAAATCCCCAAAAAAATCAAGTGTTACTTCACGATCTTTTATCAAGTTCGCATAATGTTCTTTCGCACGCCCCGTAATATTCCAATTTCATCACTCGAATAGCTTCAAGAAACTGTTTCCTCACAATTCCACGCTCAATCACACGCTCCACTGCTTCCAAACCATGCAGTAACAAAGGAATACCGAATGGTTTTCCGTGCAGGATTGCGTGATCCATGCACGCGGGATGTTGCGAGACTTTCGGAAAGCGTAAAAATACACGAGCCGTAGGATTTTTACGCATTCCGAAAGTCGAGCAACATCCCAAGTGCATGGATCATGCTATCCTGCACGGGAAAACCATTTGGTAATTGTTTTATAAAATGACTACAGTGAAACGACGCTTAACTTGATTAAAATTACTGATGAAATGTGCAGTTCTCACAACATTCGTGAATTAACGAAGCAGAGAATCGCTTATACATACATACAAAACTTTATTTAGACCTCAACAGCCGTTGAAAGGCTGGTTTCCATGAGGGGCGTGAAATTACCTATTTACAAGAAGTTATAACTATATACAGGAAATACAAAATATAACAAAATAAAAAAAATACAAGAGATTTTAGCTGCACGATTACACACAAGCAAATTTCAACTCATTCTTTGTTTCAATATCGACTTGAAAGAGCTTAGGGATTCAGCAATTTTTGCCTCATGGGGAAGATTATTACAATGCAAGGCACCATTATAATTGAAGCACCTCTTGCCGAATTCTTTTTTCGGAATTCATATTCCTCATTAGTTGTTTAATAGCAGGTGTAATCCATGGGACCGAGTTAGCCTTAGTTCTTTTTTGGCGTACAGGTGCATGCTTATTTAAAATTTCGTAAAAAATTGATTTCCATAGAATCCAGCATGTATTGGGATCATCGTAGCAGATTGTATCCCAGGGAACCTGCAGTAAATCAGCGCGGAATTGCGATTCAGAAAAGTGTTTGAAATCGCGGACTTCTTTTATAGTTGGTCTAGATTTAGGTAATTCAAGTTTCCTTACAGCATAGACTAAGCTATGATCGGATATACCAAGGTGTAAAACACCACCAGTCGCAATATATTCAGGTTTATTTGTAAGTATTAAGTCTATCAGTGTGGATGTTGTCTCCGTAATTCTCGTAGGTTCATTAATGACTTGAGTTAATTGATATAAAGAGCATAAAGTTTGCAGTTTATGAGTTTGTGAATCAGGAGCTAGTTTGTTAACGTCGCAGTTTAGATCCCCAACTAAGATTAATTCCTTATTTTCCATATCGCACTTAAAAAGAAACAATTCAAAGTTGGTAAATATGTCGAGCTCTGAATTAGGTGGTCGATACCAGGTAGCAATTAGAAGAGGCTTACTATGTTGCCTAGTAATCTCCACACATGTCATTTCTAAATTGTCAGGGACTAAATCTTTTCTCTCAGTGTATGGTATATTATTTTTTATATATAGAGCCACACCACCCCCAAATCTATTACGATCAAAACGAACAATTGTATAATTATCAATATGAATTTCTGCATCCAAAATTGAGGAGTCGATTTTAGTCTCATTAATGGCCAAAATGTCAAAAGGGTTATCAAACAGCAAGATACGAATCTCATCGATATGTTTTAAAAGACTATTAATGTTTAAATTTGCAATCTTCAGGCCCTTTAAATTCGATATGTTACAATCAGGCAGAAATAAAGTTGAATTTGTTGAAATTGACTCGCCATCGAAACTTATCGTATTATTATTATTACTACTTAAATTTGAGTTACTATTCATTGTTGAGTGACTTGAGTCTATCGAGTTTGTGTCGTTAGATATTTCAGAGTTTTCTCTATTTGGTGAAGTGTTTCTTCTAAGCGAAAATTTTTAGAATAGTTGTGATGTTGTTGTGGTGGAGAAAACTGCCGTTCACGTAGGAACTTAATAAATCCTACTGCAAGTAGAGCGGTTCCCTCTGTATTTAGATGCAGCTTACTATTGTTCAGGCATGTCTCATTTATGTTATTATGAAGTATAATATTATAGCCGTTACGAGAACACATGTCTTTGATCTTGTTATTGACCTCTTCAATTTTATTTGCTAATTGAAGGTCTTTTCTATATGCGATAGTTGACACTCCGATTTGTGCATTGGGAAATTTGCCTTGCACAAACATTTGGGTCGTCTGTTGGAAGATTGTTTGTTCCACAGTGCAATATAACATGAGAGGGCGCTAGGTTTTGATCTATATTGCGTATTTCAAACTCTATTTCGTCCGCTGATTTATCTGGGTATGTAAATTTATGCACTCTTTTCTGCGACAGCTTCTGTGGAATGATGTTTGTAATGATAGAATCGCCGATTAAGACAACACACGGTCTTGCACTTTGGTCTCCAGGGTGATTGGGATTTTGATAAACATTACCAGTGGGATGGTTCGTGTGCTCAGGTGGGCATTGTGATGATTGTTCCGGCTGAACAATTTCATCAGTTTCACCCTCAACAATTAGACATTCATTACCAGTAGGATGGCTTGTGTGCTCCGGTGGGCATTGTGCCGATTGTTCCGGCTGAACAACTTCAGCAATTTCGTCCTCATCAATTAGACATTCATATCTATTATACGTTATTTGTGGTTGACTTACACTGTTAGTTTTATGAAAGTTTTTATTACTATTAGGAATTTTTTGCCATGGTACGGGGTTGCTTTTGCGGCACTGGCAACTGACACTATTACCCCTATGTTGACAAAGTTTGTCTTGTGCAATAAGCCTTGTCGCGAGCTGTAGAGAGTCTCTTTCTTCCTCGATTTTAATTAGCTTTTGTTCAAGAGAATTTATGTATCTTGTTTTCTCATTTATTTCAACTAAATATTTTTCGTTTAAATCCGCCGCTCTCTTATATAAAGATAATATCGTGTCATGATCTTTGAGTACATTTTCAAAAGACAAAACTGACGACTGAAGGGTAGACATTTTAGATGTTAGACTGTCAATATCGGTAGTAACTTGATCCAATGTACATGAATGATTAAGACCCCAGCGTTCCTTCGCTGTCTGATTATTTGTCTGACATGAATTATCAGTCATAACAAACTTGTTATTCTCAATATTCTCAAGCATGCCATCCCCCGAGTTGGTTTCGTCAGTCATAACAAACTTGTTATTCTCAATATTCTCAAGCATGCCATCCCCCGAGTTGGTTTCGTCAGCTATAGTATTGCCACTTTTATTAAAAGAGTTCTCCAATGACTCTTGGTCATTGCATATATATAAACCAGTTGTATTAAGCCTTTTACCTGAGGTGGCATCCATGCTTATTTCGGTGTTGTCGTCATTATCGAAGTAGTCTTGACATCTCTCTGTATTGCTGCCTTGATTTTCGACTGAACTTTCACATATAGATGTCAGAATCTTAGACAATTCGTATGTCTCAGTCGAATTTCCAGCCAATGTGATAGTTTTAATGGTTTTTCCGTGCCATTTCAAGCTCACAGTATCAGCTGTGAATAACTTTACTTCTCCGCCCGGCGACGTCCATCTTCCTGAGAGTTTTAACTCCTTTGAGACAAAACGGGGCGACCACCCTCCCCCCCCCCAGTTTCAAAGCCAGCCGGGCAATATTCGCTTCACAGTCGGGCAATATTGGTTTATTATAGAAATAAATGGGACAAATTCTGTCAATTTTGTGGGAAATTCTGTCAATTATGTGGGAAATATGCTATCTAATAGGAATTTTTTGTAATCACTTCTCCCCCCCCCCCAATCACTTCTTTCCAACCTCCTAATATTTTCCTTCCCGTACGCCCATGCTTAAAATCGCATTAACTCGCCAACATGCATTCTGTTTGATACATTCAGTCAATAATGTACTCAAGTTTATCAATTGCTGCTATTTTGCTGGCAAATCATGTATAATCCAGGTGTTTTGCAATCAAAAGTAATGCAACATGGATAAATCAAATAAGTGGATTAGGCTGACAATATTTAGTCACTCAATAGGCTCCGGTCGTTAATAAAAACAGAGCCTTTTACTGCTTTATGCAGACTTTACAATAATTAGGCAATTCTGGGATATGAAAGACCCATAGATTCCATTACACTACCAGCAACAAAATTGAGTTACTGGTTAATTTCATTATTGGTGTAAAATGTGGAGGCTGGGCTACAATTTATATGGACTATAGTGGCTGGGCTACAAATTAATCTATAATATACATGGCTTCTCAAAGCCTAATTGCTGTTAGAACAAGAGTAGGAGACTATGATAATGACTTAATGAGAGTCAATGAGTACGAGTATATAATAAGGTCATCCTGCAATTTGTGCACTGTTGCATGTAGATCGAGCACTGCATTGTATACAATGGTTGTACTTCGACATGTGCATGGTTATACTCTAGCTCCTAGTTATAATTATATTGGCTATCATACGTAAAACATACGTGAGGTTTAATATGAGCGAGATTTGCAAGTTTTGCAACTCTCATCTATTAAATTTTCCAGATCTGTATATAAGATAAACAGTAAAACAATGATTACATCGTACATACCATACAATCTTTGTTGTTGCTTGTTTGCAGAACACTTGACAAATTATCAGGTAAAAGACTTAAAACCACGATGTAGTGCGCGGTGTGCCATTTGTTTAATATCATTTTGCTTAGTATTTTTTAAATAATTTAGAATTCCGACCATTTATATGCGATGTACTTCATGTAAATTAAACTTTACGGCATTACGCCGACAGTTTCCGAATGCATGACATTACTGTTTCAAACTGTTTCTGGATATAGATATCAAACATAATTATTTTTATAAAACATGTTTGTTGAAACAGTTTAAATAAAATGCAAGCTAAATAAAGAAGTGTTGACAAGATACAAAACAAGACAATTTCACTTACAAGGGTGACAAGGTAATTTATAGGAATATAGCTTATTGTAACTGTATAAATATATTGTGCGTTTCTACTCCCTGTGGGCTGTGGTTCTTTTGGAAATCAAATATCTATTATATTTTGCAATTAATAATATTAAAGTTTAGTCTAAGACATGTGTACTTTAGTTATAGGTTGGTATTTTGCAATTATGTACCGTACATGCCCCTTAAGTAGAGTATATTTATTAACTGTTTACAATATTTGTGGTATATAATGTAGCCATGAATGCATGACCACATGACCCCACAAGATGAACTCCAATGGCTTCTAAATAAGACAATGGATGAAAAGTTCACGAATATTGAGCTTTATATATGATTCGGGTTAAATACAATAATTATTAACCTAGCTTTATATAAAATGTACATACATGTTCTAATAATTGTATTTTAATTTGCTTCATACAATGCATATGTGTGTGAAAACATTACATTATTCAGCTCACTCCCCTTTGGGGCTTTTCAGTCACCGTTTACATCAAGTATTAGGGTTACTTATGTTAGTCTAGACTATTTATCTTTATAACAATGAGAATATGATATCACTTTTCTAACTGTGTTTATTCTAACCCACCCTGCCATATTTTGCCTTGTGGGAGGAAACCGGAGCAAAATATAAAATTCAATTACCTTGAAAACACAGGTCTACATTGCAATCCCTAAAATTTAGAATTTTCTCTTAAATCGCCTAAAATCGCATTAAATCGCAGTGCTTGAAAGTCCCAGTTTTTCCTTAAATCGTCTAAAATCGCCCAAAATCGCATTATATCGCAGCGATTTAAGACGATTTACCGCCCCAGAGTAGGCCTAAAATAAAGGGACTTTTTCGATAAAATATACGAAATTTGAAATGGAAAACCCGCTAAACAGAGAGCCAAAGTAGTTGTCAAGATTCTCGACCTGAATATGTGAAGATTGCGAAGTGTTTGCTCAACTTTGAAGCGAGAGATGTTGTACTTGCATGCCATGGTCTGATGAATTTCAACGCTACGCGTTGCTACTTGCTGAACAGTAATGTATCGATCAGAAATTTATTCATACAACTAAACCGACGACTCAATAATTGCAAACTTACTTCAAAGTCGAAAGGTATGGTACAATGCGAGTATATTTGTAAAATTTATGTGCAAGAATTTCTGTTCAGAATTTCCCGTGCAGGATTGTCTGATCCTGCACGGCTGTTGACCAATCAAATTGCGTGTTTCACTGTAGTTATTATATAACCATCCCTCCTCGTCTGACAACATAATACAGTCGTGTCTCCTCTGACTCGGATGATCGACTTCGCAGCCGCGATGTTTCTCCTTGATCTTGTCTAAAAGTACACACGAGTGACCACGAATGACAACGAATGACCACGAGTAATTTCTGTGTTTAAAAATCATAAAATAATAATAAAAACTATTATTGGCTCCCTAAGGTTTTTGCATTATACTGCACTATAGTATCCAGAAAACGCCTGTTACGTTTCTTCACTTTACATAACATGAAGACGAAATTTATTGGACACATTGACAATGCTCTCCTGAACATTGCAATGTGCTACTTTTGTGCTGAAAGTCCGCTACCATGGCAACAGCGTGCTTAGAATAAGGCTCAAAATTTGTCTTTTTTCGGCCATTTTAAAAATCCCTTCGGGAAATTTTTTTTAGTTTTTCGACTATTGTACACGTCAGTCTACAGTAACATAGCAAAGCATCTGAAGTGGGGGGGGGGTTGTCGGAGGATTTTACCTGAAATTTGAATTTTTATTAAATATTTACCTAAAGTGTAATAATTATAATAAAGCTTCTTGTGATTGACTTGCACTGTCATACTAAGTTTCGGGAGAAAACGGGGGTTTGGGGTCCTCCCCCAGAAAATTATTCCATTTTTGAAGCTCTAGGACTGCAATTCTGGCGTTTTCTAAAGCAAATTCGCAAACAAATTGGATGTAAATTGACTGTATGTTTTACAACAATGGTTACCATTTCACACAAATAATTACTTTATTACGCAAATTTTACCTGAAAATATCAAAATTTTAACTGGAATTTTACCGGATTTTTGTCTGAGTTTCACAGTTGGGGGGGGGGGGGGTTACTCGTCACATCTCGAAAAAAATGTTTCTAAATTTCACCCTTTTCCTTCGGTAAATTGTTTTAAAATTTTGCACATTTCTTAATATCGGCTAAACAAGCTCAATATCCTTTTTTCTTAAAATTTTATTGAAGGGAATAATCTAAGTAACGTTCCATAGATTTTTTAAAATTGAAGAAACAAATCATTATACGAGAAAGATCTTTTATGCAAATTTTTAAATCTTTAAAACGGCCGGAAAAAGATAAATTTTGAGGTTAATTATCCTAAGCACGCTGTCACCATGATAACGGACTTTCAGCGCAAAAGTAGTAAATTGCAATGTTCAGGAGAGCATTGTCAATGTGTCCAATAAATTTCGTCTTCGTGTCATATAAAGTGAAGAAACAGGCGTTTTCTGGATACAAAAGTGTAGTATAATGCAAAATCCCTATGGAGCCACCTTAAAATAGTTTCTTATTATTATTTTATGACTTTTAAACACAGAGATCACTCGTGGTCACTCGTGGTCACTCGTGGTCATTCGTGGTCATTCGTGGTCAC